AAGGACAACTCAAACATCATATGAAAATGACATTTCTATTAATTATTGTCTAATAAGTGCTATAACATTATGATATTGATTAAATAGGGATGCTACTTGGAAGAAATTAAACTCAAGTTAATAACATTTTTGTTTTGGATATGCCAAAGGTCCAAAAGGCCAAAGTCCAAACTAATATCAATCAACTCCAAATGCTTCGAGGTATAAAAGTCATCACACAAGATATTCAAGTTACATTTTATGATATCCTCTTTTGACTACAATCATCTTGAATTCTGAATTAACTTACGCATTGAAGTGTTAACCTTGCAAATCCATCCTCTTCGTTGTATCAGAGATAAGCACAACTGGTTCAAGATTCTTTATCATCAACATACACATAATTTTGATTCCAAAACATAACAAATCTCATTCACAAAAATTAATATAATTTATGGTGACTGATAAAAGATAATTTATAGTTGATGATTGAGAGTTGTTAAGTTAATTGAAATGTTTGATAAATTAATTATTCCACTAATTAATAAATATAAAATGGTATAAAATATCATTCTTAATTAATAGCTTAACATGTCATTATATTTTCAATATTATTATTAAATTAATTTTTATTTGATAAAATTAAATATAACAATAAAAATATATAAAATATTTATATATAAAATAAAACACAAAAGTAAAATGTATTCAACTCATATGTAAAAATTTAATAGACCGATGACAAATTAAGAGTGAAGAATGACATCGATAAAAATCAATGGTAAAAGGTAGAGAAAGATAATAGAGGAAGAAAAAATGGAATCAACCAATAGAAAAACGGATAAAGCATTGGACTAAGATATCTACAATATTTTTAAATACAAAATTTGAGTTTTTTTTTATATTTGAAATTAAAAAATATTTTGTACTTAATATTATAATAATAAAATATAAAGAATAAAAATAAATTTTAATAAAATTAATAAGTTTAAAAAATGAATAAAAAATATAAGATAAAAACTATAAATTGAAAAGATGTTTCAAATAATATTGAAAAGCTAAAAACTAATAAAAATATTAAAAAACTCATGTTAAATATACTTTCTTCGTCTGATAATATGTATCTTATTTACATTCCGCACGATTTTTAGAAAATAATTATATTGATTTTAATGATAATATTAATATTATTTATTAAAACACTTTTATTTATTATAGTTAAAAGAATATATGAAAATATAAAAGTTAATAAATAGAGATATAATAGTAGAAAAAATAATAAATATTATATTAATATTTTAAAAAATATTTATTTTGAAATATAAAAAAATTGTAAACAAGGCATTACTTATTAGTACTATTACTTTGTCACACACACATTAAATGATACCCTTTACACTCGTGCCCTGCTTGCAAGTTGCAACCAATTAGCGGCCGCCGATTTGAAGTCAACTACACTTAAATGAATGCAAATTGCAAAGTAAAATAGCATGCCCGACACCAAATCAGACAACTACTACAACTACTTGTTTAATTCTAAATCCGGTTAATACTCTACTCACGGATTTCATTTCATCCACTACTCCAAAACCACAACCACTTCTTTCCCACTAGGTGAGTGAAACAATATACACCAAATTAAACTAACTCTCACCAATTCAAGTTTAGATCAACTTCACCCTAACTCATCCTTTATACACCATCCAATCATTGTTACAAGTAAATTTCAATTTTTGTAATAGATTTAACTGTTAATATATCTAGTCTAATAAACTAAATATATTAACAGTTAATGTATCATAAAAAATGAAATTTATTTATAACATTGATCAGAAATATCATTTAATTTGAATTTTTTCAATAGGGAAGGAAACAAGGTCATATCACGTGCTAAAGTGCACCAACCACTACTCAGGAGAAATATTAGATTTAGATAGATTCTATTCCATTATACCAAAGTGTCTCCAAAATAAATCCATAGTCAATTCAAAATCTCTTTGTCAACCTTTCAATTACGTCACCCCTTACGTCACTTCCTCATTTATTTATTGTGCACTATTTGACATTAGGCATGGCAAAAAAACCCAGACCTGCTGGGCCCCGCCCGGACCCGCCCCGAAATTAACGGGGAAAACCCAGTTAAAACGGGTACGGGTGCGGGGGCGGGTAAAACCCGGTTTCTAACTACGGGTGCGGGGGCGGGGGCGGTAAGACACTGAGACCCGCCCGCACCCGCACCGCCCCGAATAATCCAATTACTATAATAACCTTGTTTTAATTATTTTTATGTTACTTTTATTTTCTCAGCTTTTCTTAGAAGCATTTTCTCAAGTATCATCTTCTTCTCTCAAATCTCAACGCAAAATCACCGCAAGTCTGCAACGGCCGACGGCGTTGCTGCCATCACCACTACCACAACATCATCCCATCGACTTCGCCGCACACCAGCCCCTTTGCTCAGCCGCTGAATTTGAAAGGTTAGATCTATCATCTATGTACTCTATCATCCTATTAAGTTTTAATTTACCAGCATCTAATATCTCTTGTTTGGTGATTATGATCTGATTTCTCTCTTCTAGTTTTGTGTTTTTTTAGTTAGATTTGTTTATGTTGGATGAGTTTTGTGTTTGTTTAGTTAGATTTGTTTATGCTGGATAAGTGAAACCTTCATATTTTTGGATTTTTGTGCTGAGTTGGTTATTGAGGATAGGTTGCATGTTGTTTAGGAAGTGTAAAGAAAATGAATTTCTGAGTTTTGAGCTTGTATGGTGTTCAATGTTTTGGATGGTATCTATTCAAGTTACAAAACTACAGCTGTTCAAGGTCTGGGACAATTGTAACACTACTTTGGTATGTAAACAAAGTAACATACCGGGCTTTGACAATTTCGCACACGGTATGGGCATAAGGAGCCTTTCTTTTAATCTCTATAGCCATAATTCCAAATAACATCACCTAATCATTGTCAAGTATCAGTCTTATTTCATTTTCCATTGTTTTAGTTATAAGAAACTTCACATACTTGAATGGTGGCTCCACTAGCATACCAGAAAGGTCCACTAACTCCATACTCCCAAGCAACATTCGAGCTTTGCAGGATTGTAGCAGCCCAAGTCCACTACAGCAGAACAAATTCAAGTATCTAAAAAGTGTGGAATAAGAAGAGACTAGTATGAATGTATCACCTGAGACACAATGACACTAGCAATGAGTCCTGTCTTAACATTTCTTCCTGCTGTATTGAACCAATCAGAGGTGTGGCGTGAGCCGACATACCTTTTCTCCAGCCATACCTGTTCCATAAGCATACCGAAATATGGTTCAATTGGTAACACGCATTAAGTTGTTTTCATAAGCTATCCTTGAACTTACTTAAATAAGATGAAAACAACTTATGTGATACGTTGTTTTTATAAGTTCTTTCAAATAGGCTTATATGTGCTTATGACAGTAGATAAACCCAAATAAGTCTTTTCAATCTGACAATTAGCCAAAGGGTCGAATCTGTGGGATACCTTAGGATTCTATTAGAGAGCCAAAGAACTATTTGATACGAAAAATAATAAAAGCATGATCTTAAAGCATATGAAAGTATAGACTAGATATGAGAAAAACATGTGGTAGAATGTTAGGAAGTGATTTTCTACTTGTAGGAAGAAACTTATTTAAGGCTTAGTACTAACCAAGAAAGAGGTGAAGAGAGCAAAGAAAGCACCAAAACCAAGAATGATTGAATATCCAACTCCTTGGTTAAGAAGAGGTTTTCCTTGAAAGAAACTTGTTTGTCTCACACATCCACCTCCATTTTCAGACACATGATAGTACTTGCTAGAATATTCAAAGGGTGGACACTGTGATGAAGAATCCATGAAAGAATGAACAATTTTTTAGTATTAAATTGGATGCTGTTTTGTTTTACATTCAACAATTTTGTACTCTTATTATAATAGTATTAAATTAGAAAATCCATTTTGTTTTACCGTCCAACTGCACTCACTTTCATTCATTTTATTAATACTAGTTTATTATATATTTCATTTATTAATACTAGTTTATTATATATTTCATTTATTAGTACTAGTTTATCCTTATTCTTATTTTGAATACTAGTTTATTCTTATTCTTATGTACAACTTAATTATTTTACAGGATAATTAGTTATGGAAAATGAAGATACCTCTCAAATACGATGTCCACCTATCTCATAAGAAAGTACACATCAACCAATTCCCAATGAAAGTGGTAACCAATCAGTTGATGTTCCTCCTCCCACGCCAAATGATATTATGGAGGTTGATAGCCAAACAACCACAAGTCATCGATCCAGACATAAAAGTTTTGTATGGAATCATTTTACAAAGGTCAAAGTTGACGGAAAAGATAAGGCTCAATGTAATTATTGCTCAAAGAAGCTTAATGGATCATCAAATGATGGAGATTATTAGAAAATTTGCTCGAAGATGAAGATTATTAGAAAATTTGTTGTTTATTTGGATCTTTTTTTGTTATGATGATATCGTATATTTTGTTCCATGTTGTTGGAATGGTTATTTTGTTCCATGTTGTTGGAATGGTTCTTTTGTTGATTGTATTGTTTTAATTTTGTATTTGTACTTTGCAAAAAAATTGTTGGTTGTTGGGAGTGATTTATACTTTGATATAATGAAAGATTACACTCTTTTAATGAATCACAAGTTCACAACCAATTATAGTTGATTGAAGGGTTATGATAGAAAAATATTTGGAATGGTGTTTGAATATTAAATCCTACAATTATTTACTCAAATCAATGACGAATTTTGTATTTTTAATGTATTTGTTAATGCTGTCCAGGAAATTTGTGAAAAAAATAGATATTTTTTTTATTAAAAAAAAACAGTTTTCGCGGGTGGGAGCGGGTGCAGGTGCGGGTGACCCGTTCTCCATTGGAGGCGGGTCTGGGGGTGAATTTCCATCCCCCGGCGGGTTTGGGGGCGGGGGCGGGTCTATTACTGGAATTGCGGGTGCGGGTGCGGGGTTAGCTAAACCCGCCCCCGACCCGCCCCGTTGCCATCCCTATTTGACATTTCAATTGAACTAAAACTTTTGGATCTCAGATTCTTATATGGGCCGGACAAGGCCCAATTATCTTCCTCCTTCATACTCACTTTTTTCTTTCTCCACCTCAATACACAAATCACACCCCCAATAATAATAACCCCAACAAAAAAAACTACCACAATTCCAATTATAACCCCAACCCTATTCCTCTTCCGTGCACCTTTCCTCACCTTAAAATAACCCATCTTTGACTCATCTTCAGTTCCCAACATTGTTCCTATTGGATAATCCATAACGTAACAAAACCCGGTTTGGTTATTATACAACGCTCCCCAACATCTACAGTTTTTCTCACATAACTCTTCACATTCCTCCAAAGACAACGTTGTTACTTCCTCCAATAACTCCTTATGAGGTGGTTCCACCCCGTTCCTTCTCAAAATCATGTAGTTTTTCTCTCCACCAATTCCATCCACACCGCACAATTCACCATCTCTACCACTGTCATCTAAACAACCACCCGATTTGAAACTGGTTTGGTTATCTAAACAAGAACAACTAGACTCTCCTGGCGTACACAAACCATACGAACCGCAAGGATTCGGAAGCCCGCAGGATTCTGTTATAGCTTGATAGTTAAGTAGCCAGGTTGACTTTGTTGAATCCCAATAATAACCTTTGAGATTCCCGTCAGATTCTAAACGAACCAAGAGAAACGACGTTGATGATGTTTGTTGGAAGCTGTTGAATTTCTGAACGTCAATCGGTTTTGAACTTGTTTGATACATTCCGATGTAACCCTCTATGCTTACTCTTGCAGAAATAGGTCCTGCACCGATTATTACCTTAGCTTTTGCTTGTAATGCAGTGCGTTTCCAGTATAACAGAAATAACCGTTTTGATAATGATAACGACTTTCCTTGTTCTTCTCCGGAGTTAAGTATGTATAAGCCCATGAAATTATCGCCTAACTGTAACGAGTAGAGACGGTTAGACGATACTAAAGTCATGTTGGTGGTGAAGTTTTGATCCTGAACGAGGGTATCTCTAGGAAAATGGAAACTTTCCCAGAGTGGAGCTTTGTTTTGAATTTGTAGGTTCGAGGTGTTGAGAAGCACCACGCAGTCTCCGTCTGTGTTCGTTGACCACGTGATGCTTCTTTTAGGATCCGACAAAACTAAGCTGCCATTGAAGAAGAGGCGTGTGGTGTCGGCCCATGATACTAATTGGGTTGGGTTGGCGATCCATAGTGGTTCTAAGGAAGGTGTGTGAACGACGGCTAGTTGAAGGTCGTTTTGGTTGTGGCGGAGGAAGCCGAAAGAGAAGTTGCCGGTTGGGTCGGTTAGAACGGGTTGAAAGGATGTGGATGTAGAGAGTAAGGTTGTGGAGAAGCCTTTGAGAAGCTCTTGTGGAATGGAAGTGGTTGTTGCTAAAAATGGTAATGAGGTAGAGAGGAAGAAAAAGAGGATGGTGTTTGTAAAATAAAGGTGATGAGTTGTTGACATTTTAAATATTGGACTTGAGGATGGACATTAGAGTGGACTAAAGGACATTTATAAGGATTTGTACATAAAATATTGATCTAATTATGGTGTCAAGTTTTTTAATGTCCTAAAATGTAAAAAGTAGGCCACAAAATATGTCAGTACTATTTGTCTTCAAATAACATACTATATTTATCCGTTAAACTTAATATTACAATTTTTGTGACAATTAAAAAAAAAAATACACCAGTTTCAACCAATGAGATATCTAATTAAATTCCATTTTTTATTTTAAAATAACCGATATAACATAATAATTATAAAGATTTTAATTTAATATATGTGTAAAATTGATTTACATTATGCATTACTTTTAAACTCTTTTTTTATATATATTTCATATCAATATTAACTTTTAAAATATATTTAAAAAATAAAATTGTTGATTTACAAAATACATCCACTTCTTTACATTAATATATAAATATAAATAAATATTATTGTTAGACATTAAATTTTCAAACCACTGACTACTCTATTTAACTAAAACTAATATTAACTACAATAATTTAACTTGATATATTTTAATAAAGATAAGTTATTGAATAAAAAATGAAAAATAAAAAAGACGGAGACTTAAAATTTTGATCTATCAAACAACTAATGAAAATGATAGTTGAACATGTTCAATTTTTTTTTAATTCAAAAGCAAAATATGAAATGAATCTTATTGAGTTTTATAATTAACAAAAATATTTGCATTGACTAATCTATTTGTATTTTTCTCTCTGGACATTTGAGCTATCTTGAATCTAAAAAATATGTATAGTGCTTAAATTATTTTTCAATTTAATTAGAAAATTTCAAAGGACAATATTCACGTTAGAAAATGGATGAAAGACTAGATTTGAGTCAGTTTTAAGAAAAATATTCTCTCAATTTCCCATATGTCGCATTTTCGACATCAAATGTGATTGTATATAATTTAGCTTTGAAATGAGATGCAAACTACAATCTTAGCTAAGAAAGAGTCTAAGAATGTTCTTAAATTATCTCTAAATATATCACCACAAATTGATATTTTAGGATTTCCTCTTAATTCTTCACTTGTGTTGCATTTAATCCAATTATGACTATGAAAACACTAATAAAATAGTATGATTGAAGGTGAGGAAAGAGGTTGACATCTGATGTCAAAATATTTAATAATTGTAAACTCGTGAATTGAAGAGTCTATGTGCCCTTTAAAAGAAGTAGATGTCATATAGACCAATTGTTTAACATGAAGAATGTCACTATCAAAATCAATTTGACCATTTTAAAAGCTGATATCATTTCTTGTGTACCGAGTTTTCCTAAAAATTATTATGATGAGAGTCATGATCAGATTATGAATTTGAGAACTCTAACTTATATCACCAAGTTTTAATAAATTTCTATAACTAGTTCTATCAAAGTTCATGTCAAACAATTGCTTCTGCGAGGCAGAAGAAACTATCACACACCTGTTTTTCAACTGTATTCCTATGGAAAATGTGTGGAAAGATGTATTGGGCTTGATTGGTATTCATTACAAACCGAGAGGTTGAGACCAAGAATTAAATTGGGTCATTCAACAAGGTACTGACAAAGGAAAAAAGGCAGCTCTAATTCGTCTTGCTGTGACGGAGACAATTTTTAGACTTTTGACGTATATGAATTCAAAATGCTTTGGGAAGACGAAAGATATCAACATTATACGTAATAGTATCATAAATATGATAACATATAGAGGATGGTATAGTAATAAGCTTCAAACCCGCATTGCTGAGTTAGTGTTATAGGTTTCGTTTTCTTGTTAATTTTCTTTTTAGTTCTGTTTAATCTCCTTAGTTAGCTTGAGGTTGAATCGTTTGATCGTCATGTTTTATATTGTTGTACCCCAAAATTTGCCCTCCCATATTCTTCAAAGTTTATCAAGAATCATCTTCAAATGGTTCAAGATTACTCAAGGGTTGCACAGTTCAAATGCCTCCTAAGCCAGTCAAAACTAGGGTTTTGATTCTGTCAAGGAATCTGAGGTTTTCAGTGGTCCAATCAAGTCCCATAGGCCTATATACATTGTCAAGCATCTACATGTCAAGTCTCAAGGCTCACAGGGTCAAATTGCACAGTCAAAAGCCCTATTTGGTTCACAATCAACTGCAGGGGCAAAATGGTCATTTGACAGTCAAAAGTCAGAATTTTTGGTTAACATCTTATTTTGAGCTCACAATCATCATTTGATCAATTCTTGATCATGATTCCACAAGCATGGCTCAAAAATCATCAAGATGCCAAAAGTTGCAATTTTTGGACAGTTGAAAAGTCAACTGTATCTTGACCAGGGCATAACTTTTCATGGTTCATCAGAAAAACCCCATCCAATGCTCATTTTTAAGGGGATGAAATTTCCTACAACTCATCTTCACATTCCAAGTCCAAGAAATGCTCTCACAAAAAGTTATCAATTTCTACATTATAGGTCAATTTCAAAAGTCAACAAAAATGCACTTTAAGTCAAAGACCATAACTTGAGATTGGTAAATCCAAATGACATGGGACCAAAGGCATTGGTTAGAGGACTTCAAGACCTTTCCAAAATGTCCAAGAACATGTTCATATGATCAAAATTGAGCAAGATATGCATTGGAGAAGTTGGGAAATTTTTATGAATGTGCAAAAGTCAACTATCCTTAAAACTTCAATTTTTGACAAAAGGGCCCACTTTCTTCCACTTGATTCAGCCTTGTCATGCCACACACGTGTCCTATGCTTAATTTTAAGATCAAACCTTTATTTTTCTATTTTATTTAATTTTTATTGATTTAATTCATTTTAAATCCATAATAATTCAAATAAAATCTAAAAATTAATGGAATAGCATCTTTGTGATTTGAATAGCTTTTATATGTCATATGCCAGCTAACCAATTCGTGCTAAGTCTTTTTTGTGCATAAAATCCTTGATTTGAACCAAATATGGAAAGGTCTTCAATGGTGGTCAACCAAATCTCCAAACTTAAATATACAAGGATACAAGCCCAAATTTGGACCTAGACTGCTTGCCTTATACATATGCAAGTAACCTAAACCTAATTCACGACCTGAGAATTGCTAAAACGGCCAAAGAAAATTGCAAAGTTTCTTGAAAAAGTGTGAGATCAAGAACAAGGTTGCAGACGTTTTCAGATCAAAATAAGCATGTAGCCTTCTTCCTTGCTATCCACTGAAGCTAAAGCGATCATAAACACGTCCTTAGACCACCTACAAAACGCTGTAAGTCGTCATGAAGTCACCCCTGGACATGGAATCGTGATTCTTCATTCTTGCATTTTTTCTCAAAAACATTGGCATATTCATGTTTCTCGTTTAATTTCTAACCTAATGGCAATATTCAATTTCGTTTTTAGGCTTCATATGATGATACCCGCGCCTAGGGTTTGTGTGTGTTGTTTTTAGGCATTTTGTTTTCAGGTGAAATCAGAACAAATCATGAGCATGGATGGACTTAGGAGATGGAGACGAGACCGACCATGGTCTTGGAATGGGTTTTTGAAGCTTAGGGACGATTTTAAGAAAATCCTACGAAACTACCTGCGGATAAAAATCCGCAGGTAAATAACCAGCAATTTTGATGAAGAAGACGATGATGCGTTACAGTGTGATTGGCCCGTTTAAAATTAAAGCGCGTTTTTTTTTGTTTGCTAGCATATTAATTGATTTCTGAATATTATATTTGGTCTTTATTACACTAACAATTGAACAAGGCAGTTGGGTTGGTTAAGGCGTGCAGGCATAGTCCCTTGGGACCTGGGTTCGATTCCCAGGTCCCCCAAAATAATTGTTTCATATTTTTTCTAACCTAATCACATGCAGGCTTCCTAAATGTACCCCACCAGGTGTCTCCAGCATCCAGGCGCCAAGTGGCCACAAATGTGAATCCAAAGGCCAGAGATGGAGGATCATGGTGTTCCTTAGTCAACATGCACGTAGACCATTCAGAAGGTCAACGCAGGCTTGGGGTTAATGGGCTTGGAATCTGCTAACAAAACCTCCTAATGGGCCCAGCGACCCCCTGGTTTCCTTGTTCCTTTTTCTTTTTCTATTTTTATTTCCATTTAATTCTTTCATTAATTATTACTATTATTAATATATAATTAACAACTTAATTATTTTCCTAATAAAATTCAGAAAAACTAATATTTTTATTTTTATTATTATTTAGTAATTTCACTATTAATTATTTTGTAAATAAATGTAAATTAATTAATTTAGTTAATTAGGTTAACTTTGACATTTTTTATAATAAATAAAATTAACTTAGAATTAGGGTTTTTCTTTTAACACTTTTAATTTCTTTTTTTATTTTATTTTCATTAAAAACATTAAAAAATTAAAAAATTAAAAAAACACTTTTTCTTTTAACTAATTAATTAATTATTAGGTTTAATTGCAAAAAGGGACCAAATTCCTTTCTTTCTCAAAAAAGGGTCAAAACCCTAAGGACGTTCCGATTTAATTCTTTCGCGCGCATATTTATTATATTTGATGTAACTATTTTCGAGGATGTAATAGTTAATTAGGCTTTTATCGCTTTCTTTTATTTTCTCGCATTTATTTTCCAAACGGGTTATGTTTTTGGCGATGTATATACCCGCGCCTTGTAATAGTGTAGATTTACCTTTTCGCACTTTATTTCCCGCAAACTATTAACTGTTAATTATGCCTGCAAGACTTGTATGACAAATAAAATCAATCCGTAGCTCACAAATAACACGCGCAAAGATAATTTAACATGAACTTGACACACATGCACATGCCACTCCTAGGGTACGCCTCACTGGTTGCCTCGACGTGGTCGTCAAGTATAGGGTGTTTTAGAGGTCGCCCTCCTGTCTAAAGATCTAGTTGCCTCGAAACGGTTGCCTCGGATACAAAGGATCTAGGACATTAGGGTTACCGCTAAGGCGTCCTACTATTGCTTTGGTGACCACATATGTC